TCATGACCATCACTTTGCACTTAAAACCACTCACTACTTTTAATGCCAAAGAGTCTAATAAATTCTAAGAGCATCCTGGTTCTTGTTGTGGTGGAATCTGTGAAAACAAACTCACTCTTAGCAGTCACATCCCAGGGAGATCACAGTTGTTGAGGGGAAGGAGGGAGACACCAGGCACCCACAGTCACATCAGGCTCCCTCTCAGCTACGATAACTGAATGGGAAGTTTTTGTTTGATTGAAAGCACATGGCAGGAAATGGCTGCTTCAACCCTGGCTCTGCCTCATGCCCAGCTCCAGCCAGCCACTGACCACCTGACTGACCAGGACTAACAACATTTTCCAGGAGACAGTCTTTGCTTAATCCAGCCCAATTTGTAGATGGGTTCCCCCAGGTCCAGGATTGGGCAGGGCTTTTTGATAGAAACTTGGCTAAGAGCGCCCCCTGTGCTTGGTCAGGGGCAGTTGTGATTCTTAGAGTGAGGTGGCTTGGGTGGGCCCCGGGAGGGAGTCCAGATGAAACCCAACTGTGGGTTATAAGGAACAAACAGCAGAGGTGTGTGTGCCACAGGTATTTTCCTGCCAAAATGCAAATACCCACGTCAGGAAGGTTCCTTAGTCAGAAGCCTATCTGGTTTCATGCCTGAAGCTTTGGGCATCATTCTCACCTGTTCTCAAGCCTAAGAGCTTCTCAAGCCTAACAGCCTTAGTGGATTGTTTGAAGGATACATTTCTGTTTGAAAGACAAATTTCTTTTCTCCAGATTAGTTCAGCTGACCTATCAGGTAACCCAGAAACTTCTAAAAAGAAAAAGAAAAGAGAAAAACCTCAACCTTAATTCTACAGATCCCATAAATAAAGATACCCCAGTAAAGCCAGACTCACAGAGCGTCTGGCTCACTAGATGTGCTAAGAACAGACTCCCGTTCAAGGATGGGCCCCTTCAGGAGCTGCCTCTGGATTTCTCCCCGACCCTGAAGTCTTTGCTACTTCCGTGTCCTCAGTTGTGAGACGGAAATAAAACACACTCAGAAGTCTTGGCAAAGCAACATCCTTGTCTCCAGACCTATTCAGAGGGAGGGGCAGGGCCTAGAGACCCACTCTAGACTAGTGAAGAGTGAGTGTAGACACACTTCTATCCCTTGCCTGAGACAGTGGAAAGCGCGTGTTGATGAAGGAAGGCCTGGACAGTCTCCCCAGCTCCTCAAGCAGAATGACCTCACCTTCACAGACCAGTTAGAGTTTGTATCACATGCATTCTCTCCTTTCTTAGATCACTGGTGTCGGTCAAGAGGCCCCCTAGCTCCAGCTCCACACGGGGCAGGAACCCCCATCAGGAGGTGAAGCTGCTGCACATCTGATGGGCAGGAACCACTGCCTTTCAAGGCCTCCTGGCCCCATTTTTACATCTCAACTCTGCATTCCTCCAGTTTCCATTCACCAGCCTCGTTCCAGCCCTGCAGTTTTCCACGTAGATTATGTACCTCCTCGTCCTCCTGACCATTCAATTATGTGACGACCACCATCATGTCACCCCAATGAGTATTCTTCTTTACGGGTCATGTAGCCCCTGACATAGACCACGATTTCCCCACCACTTACCCCAGCTCCAGTTTGTTTGATCCTCTTACAGAGCGCTGTTATGGAGCCCAGTGTTCACTTGGCTGTGCGTGCAAGCTCAAGGTGAGCCCTTCTAGGCTCTATACCTTTGTCAGTAGAGCCCATGGTTGCACTAACGTCTTTGTCAGCCCCAGTTACATTGAGCCTCCAGTCAACTAAAATTTATAAATCTTCTCCAGTCCAAACATGTGCATTTTGCTTTCCCAAATCCATTCTAAGAGTAGAAAAGATGTGAATCAATAACAAATGCTGCCCCTGATGCAACTGTTGTTAAACCCGAGTACAGCTGTGTCCATGTACCTTAGAGGTTCCATCCCGAGGTTCCAGCCAGTCTCAAGATCTTCTAGAAAACTGATCTGTCATTTGTCATTATTAGCTACACATTCCAGCTTCGTGGCATTCACAAACTTGGTGGGCCAGCTATGTATTCCTTTACGCCAGCCATGGCTACACTGCGATGGAAGCTAGCTGTCTCTACCAGGGGGTGAGCCTAGGTGATCGAATCTATCTTACACAGGGTTTGCTCAAGGTCACACAGTAGACCTATGCCCTGTGGAGCTGGCACTGGAACTCCAGTCTCCTGAAGCCCAGGGTGGAGATTTTCCCACAGTGCCATTGGGCTGCTGCGTGGGATGCTTGTCTCCCCCAGGCCCTGCTACACCTGCTACATGCTCATCAGCCACTCAGCAGGTAGGGTCTCCACATTGTTTCCAGGATGAGAAACTGTGTTTATTATTTTGTGTTGGCTGACACAGAAGGCCATAGCTACCGACAAAGCAGCTCTCCATTTGCATTCACTTCTGGACTTCAAGAGTCTCTGACCAAACCCAGCTAGATCCTTCCCTTCCAGAGACTTGCCTATACCACCCAGCTCGTCACCATGGCATGGACATGCTCTGACCTAGGCACCAAGAGACCTGGATCCTAATGCTCATTCCGTCATGTTTAATTCTTTGACCTTGTTTGACACAAGCCGTTTAATTTCCCTGAGCCTCAGTCTTCTCACCTAAAATAGAGGACACATCACCCTTCCTTTCAGAGTAAATCTGAGCATCAAAGTAGAGAATGAATATAAAAATTTTTTGAAAACCATCCAATGCTTTGCAAAGTATATTGTTATTATCAAATGGGTACAGAGAACTCCAAAATGAGTCAGAACCACTTAAAATTCCTTTTTACAGCAGTTCATTGTATCCTAACCTATTTATTCATTTCTTTCTCTTTTTTTCTCTTAAAGTCCCAATAAAAACTGAATATTAAGAATGCATGCAGGGAGAGGACTGAATACAAATTAACTATGCAATGTTCTTCAGTCACTTTGGCAGGGAAGCGATATACCTATTAAAATACCCCAGGCAGAGCTGGCCCGTAGTCTGCTGATAACCCCAGCAGGCAACGACCTTGGCACCATTACAAGGGCAATATTTTCAAATGGATGAACTATTCCTGAACAAAGTGTCCAGTGTACTAGGAATAAACAGGCTTTTTGTCAACAAAGCCATGTGTTTTCTGGTTCCAACAACCTTGCCCAGAGACAGCATCAGAGACTGGGGAGGACCAGGAAGCAGCACCTTCCAGCAGCCTGCCCAGTCTTGTCGTCTCTCCTCGAGAATCCTGTGACTGAACGGACCTTCAAACCTCCCTCCTCTCCTCTGAAGTTTCCGTGATTACTTGTCTACAGTTTTTCAAAAGTAGAACCCAGTGCTGTCCATTGCTCTCCTGGTCAGACCTCAGAGTGTGCCTGGTAGGAGAGCAGGTGGGGGAATCACACCTCCCTGCAGTGTCAAACGGAGCCCTGGAGCCTCACGAGCAAAGGCCTGTGCTGGAGAGTCACATACGATGCCACCAAGTGTCTACAAGGCCAGTTTTATGAAGAAGAGACAGGTCTCCCAAGACAGTCCAAAACAGGGTACACAAGAGGCTTTGAAGACAAGATCCTTGGGACAAAATTCACTGGGAGAGCAAGAAAGGACTCTGATTCACCAGAAAAAAAGCGCACATCCACAACTCAACTGGCGAGATTTGCTTCTTCTCCTGGGCCAATGAGACTGCAGCTGGCTCGCTTAGCTGTTCATTCTTTCATTCATTCTACAAATATTTATTGAGCACCTACTGTGCACCTAACATTGTTCTATGTTCTGGGGACACAGAATGGAGAAGACAAAGTCTGCTCTCCTTACATTCTGGTGAGAATTGGCAAACAATAAACAAACAAATAAGAAAATGTCTAGTATGCCAGGTGGTGATAAGTGCTAAGAGGCACAGGGGGTGCAGGGGTGGGTGGGCATGAGTTTATATCAAGGAAGGCCACACTGTGAAGGTGAATTTGACCAGGGGTTTGGAGGAAGTGCAAGAGTGGGCTATGACTAACTGGGCGAGTGTATTCCGGGCAAGAATATGCTTGAAACAGCAAAGAAGATAGTGTTACAGGCGCAGAGCCAGCCAAGGAGAGAGTCAGAAGAGATGAAGTCAGAGAGGCGATGGGGAGCCACTCACGGAGGGCCTGAGAGCCATTTTAAGGACTTTGGTTTTAATTCTGAGCGATCTGGGAAAACACTAGGGGTGGGGCAAGACTGGAACAGAAAAGTGACGTAATCTGAGTTTGGTGTCTAAAGATCATCCTGGATATTCTATTGAGAACAGCGTGGAGACACGACAGAATGTGCGCAGGGAGAGTATTAGGAGGATAGTGCAAGAGTGTAAGCAAGAGAGGGCAGCAGTGTCTTGAACCCTGACAGCACCCATGCAAGGGTGAGATGAGCCCCGGGATATTTTTAAGGTAAGATCTATAGGAATTGATAATAATGGGATGTGGGAAATGAGAGACAGAATCAAGGATTAGTCCATTATTTTGACTTAAGCAAGTGGGAGGATGGAGCTAACATTTTTATTAAGAAGGGGAAGATGACGCGTGAAGCAGGACTAAAGGCATCAGGAGTCTGGTTTAGGACATGTTACGTTGGAGGTGTCTGGTGGATACCAAGTGGAGATGCCTTGTAGGCAGTTGGATAAGCAAGCCTTGGGTCCAGGCTAGAGATATAAACATGGGAATCATTATTGTAGAGAAGGTGCATAAAGCCAAGTGCAAGGATGATATTAACGGAGGAATGAGTACTAACAGAGAAGAGATCCAAGGACTGAGGGCTGGGAGGCAGTTAACATGAAGAAGAATTAGCAAAGGATATTATAGTGAGTTAAGAATTTTTTTAAAAAATGAAAAAAAGAGCCCTCAAGAATATATGAAAAAAATTTTGCAAGAAGGAACCATTGTTCAACGTTGCCAAATGCTGCTCTTTGGTCACATGATAATAACAAAGAATTCACTATTGGATTTAGAAATTTGGTGGTCACTGGTAATTTTATTATGCAGGCTTACTTCTGTAACAAATAACCCTCAATCAGTGACTTAGTAAGAAAATGCCTATTTCTCACTTCTGTCACAGGCCAGTCAGTGCTTGGTGGATGGCCTTCCATGTGGTGATTCAGGTACCCAGCCTCTGTCCATCTTCAGTGTGTGGCCTCCATGGTTACCTTGCAAAGGGAAGGGACAATCTATATCGAAGCACACCCTTGCTCAAATGCCTCAGCCTGAAGGTCCATGCTCCCGTGCCAAGAACTAGTCACCGGGGCTCATTTACATGCAAAGAAATTGGGAAATGTCATTTAGTTGTGTCGCCAGAAAGAGGGAAGAGTTGGGTGACCATCTAGCCAATTTCTGCCAAAATGGCCTTAACAAGTTCATTTTGGGGGATGGTAGGAGCAAAAAACTGATTGAGGGGATTTCAAGAGAAAGAGGCAAGTAGAGAAATGGCGTGGTAGCTAGAGTGGGATTTGGGATCAAGAGAGGTTGTGTGTTTTGTCTCCAGCTTGTTTATAGGATGGAATGGACGATGATCCAAAAGAGGAAAAAGTGTGACGACGCAAAAGAGAGAGGGGACCACCCCTGGAGGCATAACCCCTGAGCAGGTGAGAGAGAAAGGGATCTAGCTCAGCGCTTCTTAAACTTCACTGTGCCTAAGAATCACTTAGAGAGACAGTTCCCGGCCCCCACCCCAGAAATTCTGATTCAGCAGGTCTGGAGTGGGGCTGGAGAATTGGTACTTCTCACAGTCTCCCAGGTGATGCTGATGCTGCCAGTCAGGACTGAGGACCACACATTGAGTACTGCTGATCGACTCTTGGGAAATTCATCCCGGTACTAGGAGGGAAGGCAGAGTGGATAGGCTCTGATGAGGGTGGGCGACTGGGTGTGGTGGTGGGAACGTGGAACTTGTCAGCTCATTGTTCTATTACCCCACTGAACCAGGAAGCAAGGCCATCAGCTGAGAGTGAGGATGGGGGAAGAAGAGTGAGGATGGGGGAAGATGACTGAGGGTTTGAGGAGGGAGGAGAAAAATGTGAAATCAGTGTCTCCAAGAGTGGGAGAATAATAGTGTAGGGAAATGAAGTAGGAGTGCCAAGCAAGCACCAAGGACCCACCTGCAGGTGTGGTGATGAAGTTAAAGTAAGACCAGGTAGCCACGCCTGGCCTTGCAGGTGCTGACACAGTGGGCAGAGGGAGATTCAGCCAGGATCATGGTCTTGCCAAGAAGGGACAATGAAAGGAGGGGTCGAAGGGAATCGATTGTATATTAATGGGCAGGGTGATAATGAGGCACCACATAATCTAAGTGGGTAAGGAGGGCAGTGAGGGCTCATGGGTGATGATGGGGTGGTGAGGAACAGTGAAACGGTAGTAGATCCATCAGTTGCATATCTCAGTGAGGTTGAAGAATCATTGAATAGAGAGAATAGAGAATAGAAGACTGAGCTGGAAGGAGAAATTGTGATGGGAGAGTGGGACATTTGAAATTGAGATTATGAAGGGAGCAAAATTGTTAGTAATGGCAAGGTCAAGAGCATGGCTATGGGTGTGAGTGGCCAAGATACCATAAAGGATCGATTGAACAGGATAGAAAGCCCAGAAATAAACCCACGCACCTATGGTCAATTAAGCTACGACAAAGGAGGCAAGATCATACAATGGGGAAAAGACAGCCTCTTCAATAAGTGGTTCTGGGAAAACTGGACAAGCTACATGTAAAAGAATGAACATAGAACACTCCCTAACACCATACACAAAAATAAACTAAAAATGGATCAAAGACCTAAATGTAAGGCCAGACACTATAAAACTCAGAGGAGAACATAGGCAGAACACTCTTTGACATAAATCGCAGCAATATCTTTTTGGATCCACCTCCTAGAGTAATGGAAATAAAAACAAAAATAAACAAACGGGATCTAATTAAACTTAAAAGCTTTTGCACAGCAAAGGAAACCATAAACAAGACAAAAAGACGACCCTCAGAATGGGAGAAAATATTTGTCAACAAAGTGACCGATAAGGGATTAATCTCCAAAATATACAAACAGCACATGCAGCTCAATATGGAAAAAAAACCCAAACAACCCAATCAAAAAATGGGTAGAAGATCTAAATAGACATTTCTCCAAAGAAGACACACAGATGAACAAAAGGCACATGAAATGATGCTCAACATCACTGTCAGAGAAATACAAATCACTAATTATTAGAGAAATGCAAATCAAAACTACAGTGAGATACTACCTCATACCAGTCAGAATGGCCATCATCAAAAAGTCTACAAACAAATGCTGGAGAGGGTGTGGAGAAAAGGGAACCCTTTTGCACAGTTGGTGGGAATGTAAATTGGTACAGCCACTATGGAGAACAGTATGGAGGTTCCTTAAAAAACTGAAAATAGAACTACCATATGATCTAGCAATCCCACTCCTGGCTGTATATCCGAAGAAAAACATGATTCAAAAAGATACACGTACCCCAATGTTCATTGCAGCACTATTTACAATAGCCAAGTCATGGAAGCAACCTAAATGTTCATTGACAGAGGAATGGATAAAGAAAATGTGGTACACATATACAATGGAATATTATTCAGCCATAAAAAAGAATGAAATAATGCCATTTGCAGCAACATGGGTGGACCTTCCTTCACCTAAGTGAAGTAAGTCAGACAAATATCATATGAAATCACTCATATGTGGAATCTAATTTTTAAAAAACCATATAAATGAACTTATTTACAGAACAGAAACAGACTCACAGATTTCAAAAACAAACTTACGGTTACCAAAAGGGAAATGTTGGGGGGAAGGATAAATTAGGAGCTTGGGATTAAAATATACATACTACTATATATAAAATAGATAACTAACAAGGACCTACTGTATAGCACAAGGAACTCTACTCAATATTCTGTAATAACCTACATGGGAAAAGAATATGAAAAAGAATGGATATATGTATATGTATAACTGAATCACTATGCTGTACACCTGAAACTGATACAACATTGTAAATCAACTATACTCCAATAAAATTTTTAAAAATAAATAAATAAAAGCACTATTCCATGTGAGATAGGAAAAAAAAAGATTCCATAAAGGAATCCCTTCCATCACTCGGAGGAAAGGAAGTTGAGGAACTGGAAGTCTAAGTATTAGAAAGACTGCATGTGGGGGCTTCCCTGGTGGTGCAGTGGTTGAGAGTCTGCCTGCTGATGCAGGGGACGCGGGTTCGTGCCCCAGTCCGGGAAGATCCCACATGCCACGGAGCGGCTGGGCCCGTGAGCCATGGCCGCTGAGCCTGTGCGTCTGGAGCCTGTGCTCCACAACGGGAGAGGCCACAACAGTGAGAACCCCATGTACCGCAAAAAAAAAAGAGAAAGACTGCATTTGAGGATATTGAAATTACCAAGGATTATTATCAAGAGTATTATTGGAAGAGCACTGAGAGCTATTGTTTTCAAACTCTCCTTACAGAATCCGGTGCTCTAATGAGGGGAAGAAGTTCTGAAATATAAATCCTGGGCCCCCAAGCAAAAATTTCCCCATGAGTCTCCTTCTAGTGCTAATTGCAGAATAAACAGGTGAGCCAGTAGGGGCTGCTGGTGGAGAGGCTGAGCCAGCAGAGAGGATTCGCTCTAGCTGGCCGGTGCTGGACTCAGAAGAGCCCAATGTTCCCCAGCTCTTTCCCTGCTTAATTTGAAGAAGTAAGCGAGATGCTGAGAACCTGAGGTGATTCATCACAGCTCCTGAATGCTTGTGATGTCTCCCCACACATTTTATATGGAATAGTAGTAGGCTGCTGGTTTATGACATCTTGGATTTCATGTTTAACTGCTGTGAGTGTTCTAGTGCAGAAAAAACTAAATATAGACTTCAAATTAGGAAGTCTAAAAGGAATACCAAAGCAGCATCAATGGTGAGTGCAGGAACCAGGAGTTAAAAGTGGCAGATACTTGGCCGAGAGGGTGGTATTCCTGCCTGAGGACCCCACTCCACAACAGGGGTGTCCCAAGAGAAAAAATAACAGCTTCAATACATGAGGGAGAACGGACATCCTCCCTCCCGTCACTTGCCTGAGCAGAGCTGCAGTTCTCAGAATCCTCACTGTGTGGGACACACTGAACTCTACCCAGAGCTGTGGAGTGGGCTCCTCTCCTCCTCCCCTTCTTGCCCCCCATCAGATCCATCCACCCCTGAGGCAGAAAGGGGCCCAACTCCATGCCGTCCTCTCCATTTACCCTCTAAGCCTGAGAATTCACACACAAAATCTGGCCCCTTCTGCTGTGTAGACCATTGTTGCAAATCAGTGGAAGGAGGGGAGGGTGGAATAGTGGCCACTCCTCTGGCCACATATGGACCCCACCTGGGACCTTCCACAGGTGTCAGTAGCTGCCTAGGAAGCGAGAGATAGAGAGAGAACAGGAGGGAAGGACGGATTCTCATCTAAATCTGGCTGTCCTTATCTCTGGGTGATAGGATTATGGACAACTTTTCCGTTTTCTCATCTGTATTTTCTAAAAGGAGTATGTGTTACTAATGTATGTGGGAAACTCCTAATAAAACTTGTTTTGTTGTTTCTAAAATGCTTAGTTGGATGGGTTTGCCTTGATGAGAAGCACACCAACCGTGCAAGCCCGCTCCGAGCAAACAGCTAAGGACTCTCCCGGCACACACCTGGGGCTCCAGTGCACCATATGGTACACGGCAGTGGCAAGTATAGGAGCTGGTGATTCAGTGTTAGCATCACCTGGCAGGAGCCCCAAAACCGAGAGGATGGAAAAGACAAAGAAGCGTGGGATGTGGTGCTCTTCTCAAGAGGGAGAGGACACTTACTGTCCCTCCAGCTGGTGATTCTCCATCTGGTCCCAGATTGTGGGGAAGGGAGCATTCTCCCGCAGGGTAACTGCTTTGTAAGCAAAGGACATTACATTGCACTGGCCAGTGTTACAAAGGAGGACCCTGTGCCACCCAGTCGGACATATATTTCATTTTTCCCACCTGGTCTGGGTTTCTCCGAATGCTGCACTGGCTTTGTCCTGAAGGTTGAGGTCAGGTTCAAAGACCTCTGGTCTAGTATAAATGCACAGTGACCTCAGATCAAGGGCAGACCCCCGGTAAAATTGTTAAATGAATAAAGTGCACCTTTGGATATCTCCCTAAAAAGGAAAGAGCAGCTACTTCTCATTGGGGCACCTCGCTTTCTAGGGTCTCATGCAGGTAGCTGCTGCAGTACTTCCCCATCCTGAGTCCCAGTCCCTCAGGATTCTCATCCAGGACGAGCTTCCTAATCTGAGCCACTTGTGCAAAGGCTCAGGCGCTGTAGCCCAACGTGTCACACCTCCTGCCACATCCAAATCGTATCTGAACTCAGGCCTCTTTCTAGAAAGACATGGCTTTACCCGGATAAACAAAATGCTAATGATAGAAATTTCAGGTTGACCTCTAGGGTGCAAGTCGAGGAGAATTGGGGGGATAGGGTGAAGGGTCAGGAGCCCCGCTAAAATAACACTTTACTTATTCTTAAATACGTCTCTGTCAACAAGAATGTTGACTCACTGGAAGAGTAAGCTACTTTAAATCCTTTATGGAGCAACAAGGAATTTTTAAATGGAAAGAAGAGAGGGAAGAGAAGATAAGAAAGAAAAAGGGAAAATAAGGAGTTAGTAGAATGAGAGACCGATTCTTAAAACACACCTATCTTCTTTCATTTGCTTTTCTCCTTGTCCTTTACAAGGGTAAGTTGATAATTAGCCCATGATCATGTGCTTCAAGTCTTATTTTTAATATATTATATTCTAGGACATCAGTTCTCAAAGTGTATTCCAGGGAACCCTGGGGGGGTATCTTTGAGTCAAAACTATTTTCCATTTTAGAGGATTCTTCAGGTCAAAACTATTTTCGTAATAATAAGAAGTCACAATTTGCCTTTTTTACTCAATCAAGTTTTCCAGAAGCCACATCGTTGTGTGATGACATCATTGCATGAAAAAATGTTCTATGGTCCAAAATGTTTAGGAAATGCTTTTAGACTCTCTTAGAGAATTCACAATGTCCATTAGCATATTAAAGGCCCTGAGAAGTTCTGTGGTAAAAACAATTCTGTTTAACTTGTTTTAATACAACATTGCAAATTTATTTGACCATGGAATTTATTTTTGTTTTGTTTTAGTTTTGGTTCATTGGTTTAGTACCACTTGCTATCATGTTTTGGGAAACGTTCCTCCAGGGGTATGATATCAAGCCAGGAATCCTCTGGCCAAGGAATTTATTAGAGATCCCTCCCCTGGACCGGAAGTGAATAAAGACTGGGCACTAGTATGTCAGGGTAGTGCAGTGCTCAAGAGAAGAGCCAGACTGCCTGAGTTCAAATCCTGACTCTGTCACTTACTAGCTGTGACTTTGGGCAAGTTACTTAAACTCTCCATGCCTTATATTCCTCATGCATAAAATGGGGAAGATTGTACTCACACACACACACACACACCCCATATATATCTTACACCAGCACCCCGTACACAGTGAACACTAGATAAGAAATCTGTTACTGGGCCAAACATACTGGCCTAAGGTCAGGACCTAAAGCTAGGCCACTAATTAGTAATGGGACTCGAGACAAGTCATCTCTCTGCTATGGACTTCATTTTACCCATATGTCAAATTAGAAAGTGGGGTGAGGCAGTCTCTGAAGCACCTTCTAGTGCTGATATTCTCTGATTCCACACATTTCTTGCAGAAGGTGGCACTAACCTGGAGCACGACCGGAGAAAGGGTGGTCTAAGAACCCTCAGGTCCTGGGCAGCACCATCAGCGGATGAAGGGGTCCACAAGATGCGATGGTTGGCCCTTGAGGATGGAGTCCATCTGTTCCACAGTTGTGCCTTCCACCGACCCAGCTTCTCACCCTGCCCAGGTGTGAAGGAGAAAGAAAGTGGGGTTTGCTATTCCTACCACCACCCCGATGACACCACTATGACTTAAAACTGGCTGCTTGAGATGAGGGCCTCGCTACAGTGAGGAATCTGCTCTTTACAAGGGGTTAAGAGGACACGGGGCTTCCAGCTTCGTGGCAGGTTTTCCTGATCTCTTCTAACCACCCCAGCCCCAGGGAAACCTATGGCTAGTAAGATACAACAGTGACTGCCTCTATAAAAATTCCTCCAGCGTGACTTTACCACCACTGGGAATGAGGAGAACGCACAAACTAAAAAAACTGAAAATGTCTGTATAAGAAAGAGCTTTGAATTGCTGGCAGCTGTGGGCCAAGGTAGAGGCACCCAACGTAATGCTTAAGGGGCTAAATTGGGAACATTTGAATGCTTGGTTTTACTTGTGCTTAAAAAAGCCAGTAGCAGCTCAGCTGCCAGATGTTGGAGAACTTCAACATGTAGCTCACAGGCATGGTATCAGCAATGCTTTTACCAGGTGACCACACGTCAAACGGAGATGATGACTTGCTTTCCTAAAACTGCTTATCTAGGGAGGGAGCCCGGTGGCTTTCATGTTTCATTTTCACTGAAGAAGTTAAATTTGGGAATACCACAAAGATCTCACTTAACTCAGAGAAGATTGGCACTAGGGCTTGTCAGCAAAGGAAGAATTTCTGAGAACTGTGGCTTCATAAGAGTTCAGCTCCCTGTAACTAAGGCCTTTGAGTATTCATTGAGCTACCCTCTCTCTAATTCAGTGTATCAATTAGGAATTGCTTTCCGTTGCTAGTAACAGAACTGACTACAGTGACTTGAACACAATGGTCTATTTTTTTAATGTGAAATGCAGGTGTGGATAATTACCGGCATTGGTTCTTAAGAATCAAAAAAATTAGTACTGTGTCTTTATGATTCTTTTAGTCTTTTCTTTGTGACCTCAACATGGCTGTTGCAGCTCCAGCCATCACATCCACATTTCAAATGACAGGAGGCACGTAGGATGGAATGGCAAAAAAGTATTTCCCAGAAGTTCCATCCAACAATTTCTGCTTTCATCTTCTACAAGAGAGGCAGAGAATCATAGTCTTTTTACTGAATACATGCCATCTGGAATAACATTGTGGGTCTGTTTCTAAGAGAGGAGAGAATGGATACCACATAGAAAACTAGTGTTCTCTGTATGGGGCTTTCTAGAGATGTGTTTAGACAAGAAGTTGCTGTCCAAACTGTTTTTTCTGGGACAGCTTGTTACATGAAAGGGCAAGCACCTGGGGGAGCCTCAGTTTACCCATGAAACTGACTTCCAGACCTCTCTCACTATGAGAGGAGGGGCAGCTAGTTCCCTAGTTCCCAAAGCAACTTGGTTAGGGAAGAAGAAGGAGATTCAGAAAATGGGAAAATCTCTGAAAAGTGGTGGATTCATTTCTTGATCAAAGGCAGTGTGCTCAACATTAAGCCTAAAACAGATGAATGTATGTGGACACAGGGGGTGACAGCACTGCTTGCTGATAGAGTGAGGCAGGCAGTGAATAAAGAAAACATGTGGGGCTTCCCTGGTGGCGCAGTGGTTGAGAGTCTGCCTGCCAATGCAGGGGACACGGGTTCGTGTCCCAGTCCGGGAAGATCCCACATGCCGCGGACCAGCTGGGCCCGTGAGCCATGGCCGCTGAGCCTGCATATCCGGAGTCTGTGCTCTGCAATGGGAGAGGCCACAACAGTGACAGGCCCGCGTACCACAAAAAAAAAAAAGAAAGAAAAAAAAGGAAAACATGGTTCACACCCCTGTTCTCAGTAAGTCTTATGTGTCCAATAGCTGTCATAAGCCTATATTAATAGGCTGCATATTTTGCTTTGAGGGACATTATTTATTCTACTGTGACTGTGTATTTGATGGGACTGGAGATTGGCAGTTTTTTATCTTTTCTTCTCATGGACCTGGAATGTCCTCCCTCCCACCATCTCTCCTCCTCCCCTTCCCAACATCTGCACATTGGCCTACGGAAAAGGCTCCTACCCATCCTCCAAGCCTCAGCTTAAAACTCACTTTTCATGACCCTCCATGGCAGCGTTCAGGCCCCTTTCTCTGACTCTCCCAGTCCCCTTGCAGCCACACTGAAGCAGTGCTTCTCACGCTGTGTTACCGCGGCCTCTCTACAGGAGCTTTCCTGAGCCCCTTGGCTCAGGAGTTCCTAGACTCTGAGTCCCTTGAACTTCAAGGGAAGAGGCCAAGGCACTGGGATCTTTGTAACTCCTGGTGCTGGACACATAGAGGCTAAAAGCATTTTAAATTATTTTAAAATCTTTTTTATTGCAGTGTAATACACAGAGAGAAAAGTGTGCATATTAAAAGGGGATAGCTGAATTGATTTTTATAAACTGAGCACATCTCTTTAACCAGCACCCAGATCATGAAAGAGATTATTCCCAGTGCCCCAGAAGCCCCTTGCATATCCCTTCCAGTCATAACCCCTTCTGCTACCCTGACTTCACTCCTCTGGAGGCGCCTAACACAGCTTTCCCTGTCCTGCCCAGATGCCCATTTCATTCATGCCCATTGTCTGGGAAACTGCATGGCAGAGCCTTACCCCTGCCAGTGGACATAAGAATGTCATGACTATGCTGTCTCTAGATGCCCAAACTCCCACTTCACAAGGTGCCAGAGTCAGAGAAAACGGTCCCTAACTTGTTCCACACTACTAGCTACGGGGCAACTCTGCCTGTGACCCAAGTCTAAGTCCCTCATGGGCAGTTCTGTCATTTGATCTCCACTTTTATCAAGTTGGATAAGGTTCCTTCTGTTTCTAACTTGCTGAAATTTCATATGAATGTGTATAGAATTTAATGCTTTTAAGCCTCTGATTAATTACAAAATCATTTCTTTTTAATAGATAAAGACGCCAGGGTTTCTATTTCTTCTTGTGTCAGTTTTGGTAAGCTGCATTAAAAAAAAAGAAATTTATCAATTTTATCCAGATTGTCAAATTTATTGCATAGTTACTTATAATCACTGCTTTGTTTTTATTTTGTGAACTCTGTGATTCTTGTATCTAATTGTATTTTCTTCATTGCTTTGACTAGTTAGAAGCTTGGTCAATTTTTTTGTATAGATTCTAGAAACTTTAGGGAGTCATATGGCATTATGTGAAGATCTTAAAAAACAGATATGATTAAAAAGAAAAAAAGAAAGAAAACATGATTCAGACCCTCCAGAATCTTACCATTTAGAAGAGACAAAACATGTAAACTAGATAGTGAGAGAGGCTGCTAGAGATGGAATATTTGTCTCCCCGCCCCCCACCAAAATTCAAGTGTTGAAACCTATCTCCCCAAAGTGATGCTATTAGAAGGTGGGCCTCTGGGAGGTGACTAGGTCATGAGGGTACAGCCCTCATGAATGGGATTTGTGCCCTCATAACAAAGACCCCAGGCAGCTCCCTCAGCCCTTCTGCCATGTGAGGACACAGCAAGAAGACACAGCCGGGGCTTCCCTGGTGGTGCAATGGTTAAGAATCTGCCTGACAATGCAGGGGACACAGATTTGATCCCTGGTCCGGGAAGATCCCACATGCCACGGAGCAACTAAGCCCACACGTCACAACTACTGAGCCTGTGCTCTAGAGCCCGCGAACCACAACTACTGAAGCCTGCATCCCACAACTACTGAAGCCCGCACACCTAGAGCCCATGCTCTGCAACAAGAGAAGCCACCACAATGAGAAGCCCGCTGACCACAACAAAGAGTAGCCCCTGCTCATCGCAACTAAAGAAAGACCACGTGCAGCAACGAGGACCCAACGCAGCCATAAATAAATAAATAAATAAATAATTTTAAAAAGAAGACACAGCCATCTATGAACCAGGAAGCAGGCCCTCACCAGACACCAAATCTTCTGACATCTTGACCTTGGACTTCCCAGCCTCCAGAACTGTCAGAAATAAACTTCTGTTGTTTATAAGTCACCCAGTCTATGGTATTTTTGTTATAGCAGCTTGAACAGACTAAGACAGGGGCTAAGTGGAGTCAGCACCAGGCCCAGAGAGGGGGATGGACATCACCACCAGGATGCACCCAAAGGAGTCAGAGAAGAGGGGAAAGATTCAGAGTTCGTTGGATAACCAGGTAGGGGAGGGGGTGGGTTTTGCCTAGCCACACAGTGGGGCTCCCTCCACTGGCAAGAGAAGTAGCCCTTGGCCTGAATTCCCAAGGGCCACCATGGATCTCAAACAAAATGTCATCCCCACATTTCCAGCTCTCCATCCAGCCCTATAAAACAAAGAGGTGGAATTTAAGATCCAACCGAAACCAGGAAAGGGCACAGCACATAGAAATACCATAGCCAAGAACCAAAATGCTAACTTCTGTTACAGGAGAGGAAAAATTCTTTTACATGATGTGTGGGGGATGGATTGAAGAAGAGGAGATATCTTGTTCTGGACTTTCCTCTTGGGTCTTCTTCAGATTTGGGAGCAAAAATGGGTTGTGGGAAAAGGTGGCGTAAAGTGAAGGAGTAGTACAAGAGAAAGACAAATACTGTATGTTACGACTTACATGTAGAATCTAAAACATAAAATGATACAAAATAAAATATATCTATATCTAAAAAATAAAATATAAAAAACAGACTCACATATTAGAGAACAAACTAGTGGTTACCAGTGTGGAGAGGGAAGTGGGGAGGAGCCAGATAGGGGTAGGGGATTAAGAGGTACTACTACATATAAAATAAATAAGCTACGAGGATATATTGTACAGCACAGGGAATATAGCCAATATTTTCTGATAACTTTAAATGGAGTATATAATCTATAAAAATATTGAACCACTATGTTCTACACCTGAAACTAATGTAATATTGTAAATCAGCTATACTTCAATTTTAAAAAATAGCATGTTCCCTTTCAAAAAAGAAAAAAAGAGTAGCTTGTTTGTTCCTTAAGTCTATGGTTTCCAACTGCTATTCCATGCTTCCAGCAGT